CTTTAAATAAAACATATATTTCTAAAATTATTTGAGATTAAAACTTTTATTGAAATTTAGAATTAGACAACAATGAAAATATCACATACTGTTATGCTCATGCGTTATAATCAACAATTGACACTAGTTTATGAAGTTTACAAGTAACAGTAAAAACACACTGTAACAAATATACACTGTCATCGAAAATTATTAAATAAAATTAGAGAATTAAACACTAGAACTAGACATGCATAATGCTTTGAAACTATATATTCAAATAATTTTAAGTTTGGTGTTTTTATATTATAATTTAATTAAAATATTTGTTTGTAAATTGTTTTGTTATAAAAAAACGTTATTCAGGCTTGGTCGGGAAGCGGGAGCAATCGCTCTCGAATACTGACCACGGAAATTATATTTAGTTGCGTAAAACTGGCCAGGTTTTTAGTCGTTTTGAGAACATTTAAGTTTATGTACGAAACAAAAAAATTTTGTTTTACGGATATACATGGAAACCTAAAAAAACTTGAATGTTCTTGTGCAAAAGAATAAAAAGAATATTTGCGAACACTAAAAACAGGCCAAATTAACGAACAAACTAATTCTATTGGTTCAAAAATACGCTGATTAAGCGAAATAAAGTTCTAGAGTATTCTGTTAAATTGTTTTTACTCACGATTTGTTTCGTTTTGAGATTTCTAGCATTGTTTTAAGAATATATATTATTTATTTACGAAAATAAATGTTTTAAATATATATTAATTAAATTGTTAAAATTTTAAAAGTTTATTATAAATCATAGATTTTATTAGTATATTCTTATTTTTTTATTTTAAAAAAGATTGTATTCTTTATGTAAATGTAATTGTGTGTATCTGTTTTTTATCGTAATGTATCTTTTAAAGCAATTTTCATGATTTAAACAAAGACTTACAAAAATAATTGCGTTTTCAATGAAGTTATAATCGTTAAAGTTAATAAAACTAATTATGTAACAAACATATAATAAGTTAATGCGGTAGTGGTGTAGTGGTAGAGCGCTCGCTTCATAAACGAGTGGTTCGGAGTTCGATCCCCACCACGTCCCTGGTAGTACCGCGCTCAACTCGTTTCTCCGCGCAGCGGCCTTGCTCGTCAAGGTTTGTTTTTCGGAGTTATAGAGTTGAGAGAGGGTTATAACCACAAATAAGTAGCCTCCTCGTCTGTAGTGGCCTTCTCGGCCTTGAGGAGGTGAATTAATATAAAAAAAAAAAAAAAAAAAAAAAGTTTCTGGTTACTAAACACACACAACGCATACAAAGTAACTCGCGGATGAACAAGCATCGCGCCTGAGGTCACGACAGAACACAAATATATATAGCAAATAATTAGATATAAAGAAAAGTTTCTAGATATTGGTTTACTAACTCTAATTATTTTCGCTTAAGTTGCCATTCTTAAAACTCGTTTTACTTTTTTCTGCTTTAAATACTAATTAAAATTAGAAAGCCCACTCACTAAACATCATCAGCGATATTGTGAAGCAGTTTCGCTTCCTGGTCATTAAGTATTTTTAACCTTTTTAGTTGATTTCTATCTTGTTAATTTAATTCCTATAGTAATTCAATGATTTAATTATTTCATTTGTTTATCTAACTAAGAAGAATCGCTTCAAATATGTTGAACTTTTTAAACTACGCGAAACATAAAATAAATATTAAAAAAATTAACTTTTTATTTATAAAATAATTTAGCTTAAGTAAAACTAAAACTTGCAAACTTAGTTAAATAAAGAATATTTGTTTCCCTTTTAAACAATCGTAAGTTGTTACTTTATATAAAAAACATCACTTAATTTTATTAAAAAAATTGTAAAAGAGCGATGTTTCGAAAATATTTGTTCTAAATGCAATTTATTTAGCTTTAAGTTTTTTCGCGTTTAAAGATATTTTAATTTTTTTTTTTTTGTAATAGTCTCTCATCGGTCCAATTAATCTTAATCGCTTTTTTTTTTGCTTTTAAAAATGTTCTCAAAACGACTAAAAAATCTGGCCAGCTTTTCGCAACTAAATATTATTTACGTGGTCAGCAATCGAGAGCGATGGCTCCCGCTTCCCGACCAAGCCTGGTTATTCAAAAGTATGTCAACCTGGGTCTCAAAAGAAGCGTATTTTCATAGAGATTTTTAAAATGTTATTTGTTTGTAATTGAAATAAGTAATTTTTGTATTATTGCTGAGAAACTTTTTGTTAAAATTTTTCTTTTACAACTTGACGTGATGGTGAAAAACTATATCTTTACAACTTGACGTGATGGTGAAAAATGAATTGCATATTTGAAATCAAAATGAGAAATGCTATAAAAAAAAACTAATTGTTTGCTCGGGAACAGAAAAAAAAATTTTTTTTGTTGACCTATGTTATTAATGTTTGAAATTAGCATACAGGCTTGGTCGGGAAGCGGGAGCGATCGCTCTCGAATACTGACCACGGAAATTATATTTAGTTGCGTAAAACTGGCAAGGTTTTTTAGTCGTTTTGAGAAATTTAAGTTTATGTACGAAACAAAAAATTTTTGTTTTACGGACATACATGGAAACATAAAAAACTTGAATGTTCTCAAAACATCTTTGAGAATAAAAAGAATATTTGCGAACACTAAAAACCCGCCAAATTAACAAACAAACTAATTCTATTGGTTCAAAAAATACGCTGATTAAGCGAAATAAAGTTCTAGAGTATTCTGTTGAAATGTTTTTTTCACGTTTTGTTACGTTTTGAGATTTCTAGCATAAATTGTTTTAAAAATATTTATTATTTGTTTACAAAAAGAAATGTTTTAAATATATATTAAGTTGTCAAAATTTTAAAAGTTTATTATAAATCATAGATTTTATTAGTATATTCTTATTTTTTATTTTAAAAGAGATTGTATTCTTTATGTAAATGTAATTTTGTGTATTTGTTTTTTATCATAATGTATCTTTAAAGCAATTTTCATGATTTAAACAAAGACTTACAAAAATAATTGCGTTTTCAATGAAGTTATAATCGTTAAAGTTAATAAAACTAATTATGTAACAAACATATAAGAAGTTTCTGGTTACTAAACACAAACAACGCATACAAAGTAACTCGCGGATGAACAAGCATCGCGCCTGAGGTCACGACAAAACACAAATATATATAGCAAATAATTAGATTTAAAGAATAGTTTCTAGATATAGGTTTACTAACTCTAAATATTTTCGCTTAAATTGCCATTCTTAAAATTCGTTATACTTTTTGCTGCTTTAAATACTTATTAAAATTAAAAAGCCACTCACTAAACATCATCAGCGATATTGTGAAGCAGTTTCGCTTCCTAGTCATTAAGTATTTTTAACCTTTTTAGTTGATTTCTATCTTGATAATTTAATTCCTATAGTAATTCAATGATTTAATTATTTCATTTGTTTATCTTACTAAGAAGAATCGCTTCAAATATGTTAAACTTTTCAAACTACGCGAAACATAAAATAGGTATTAAAAAAATTAACTTTTTTATTTATAAAATAATTTAGATTAAGTAAAACTAAAACTTGCAAACTTAGTTAAATAAAGAATACTTATTTCACTTTTAAACAATCGTAAGTTGTTACTTTATATAAAAAACATCGCATAATTTTATTTTTTTTGTAATTGTCTCTCATCGGTCCAATTAATCTTCGTCGCTTTTTTTTTTTGCTTTTTAAAATGTTCTCAAAACGCCTAAAAATCTGGCCAGCTTTTCGCAACTAAATATTATTTACGTGGTCAGCAATCGAGAGCGATCGCTCCCGCTTCCTGACCAAGCCTGGCATAGAATAAAAGTTTTTTCTTCAGTTTCAACTTTTTCCTTGAACATAAGTCTGCCATGGACTTGATCAACATGATTTTATCGCAACTTAAAACATGACTATTTTATTTCATCAAAAATACTAAATATTTAAAAACATTTATTTTTTATACAATCCAACAAAATTATAAAAAATAATTTAAATTTTTTTTTTTTTAATTGATTTTTATAAAACATTTCTCTACATTTGTTAACTATATGAAAATACTTTTAAAAAATGCATATTTTGGTCATTTTAAAACTCATGTAAAATGCAAATTTTGCTATTGAAACTGTATATTTATAGCATATTGATAGTATATTTTAAATATCTATGACCACTTAACAATTCTTAAAAAAATCAGTTGCATGTAACTAAAATAAAGGAACTTATATCTATTTCAAAGTATACAGTATTGACAGTATTTGTGTTGTCTATTATTTTTGTGCAAAAATACTTATGAAAATTAAACAGAAATCATCACCTACAACTTATAACTAAAATACTTAGTTTTGGATTGCTTTTTTTTTTTCTTGATGTTTTTGACAAAACTTTTAAATCAAAAATGGTTTCCAGATTTGGATTCAGCATGATCTCTTTAATATTATTATTTCATTTGTCTAACACCTAGTGTAATTTACAAGTTAAAAAAAAAATTAGAAAGTTATTTCTCGTGATTTTCACTTAAGAACTTTTTTCTCCAGAATTTGTTTAAAAATTCCTCTTTGTTCTTTTTCATTCCAGCACTCTATTGCATACTTCAAAGGTTGTTCAACTTCGAAGGGAATTTCACTTTTATATAGTGCTATTTTTACCTTCATTTTATTTTAAATTAAATTTTGAAAATTTCACATCTGAAAATGGCATAGGCCCTGGGTTTTTTTTATTACTAGAAATCTTTATTGTATTGGTTTGTATTTGTGCTTTACCTGAAATCAAGAACACTTATTTTATTAAAATTTAAATTACTGTAAATATTGCATGTTTTTATCAGCGTTTTGAGACTAGAGAGGGTAGAACTTGTGATATCATTAGCGTGTGATATCATTAGCGTATGCTACCACACCAGTAAAGTTACCTTATATAGATATGCCAACAATACCTTGATTTTTAATAGATTCAAGAAAACTTGTAAATGTTATAGAGGTGAGGTGAAAGAATCGATCCTTGTCTTACTCCTTGC